GTGCAGGTGTGAATGAAAATAGTTAAGTAGCAAAAATTTTACATGTAGTTTTACTGCGCAGAATGCTGAAAACTAATGGTGGAACATAAATGTGAAAAGGGTGTGGAATTTGTGAAATAACGTCGAAAAGATCGTTTACTGCATTCGTACTGTAAAAAATCTCATCTGGGTCAAGGTTTGTGACAGATGCATGCCTCGAGTTTGACATCTAGCTTGTAAGAAGCGAGGCGAAATGTGTTCAAGACAAAACGTTTCAGCTCCCATCCGAGCTGATTCATGGTGGTTAGTTGTACACCGGTTACTTTTTTGAATTGCCAGCGTATAGATTACCACACCGTAAATTGCTTCAATTTTAATCGTAATGTCGACCCTAACAAAAGGCCCAAGTGAATTTCAAAGGTAGATCTATGGCAGCAGGAGAACGACCTTCGTAAAGTAGAAGACCCATAAGGAGCCCATGGACCCACAAACTCACTCGTTACGCAACCCTTCCGTGGGGCGCCAAAACGTCCGTAACTTTGTGAGAAACAGTGTTTGAATTTGGACTGCGATTAGTACGCTCAGCTCGTCTTCGAAGACGAGCCTGCTTCTGGCCTGACATGTTTTTTTCGAAAAAATTGAAAACAGAACCTGGCGAGGCCATGCATTAAACATTTAACAGAGTCAAGAAGACCGGAGACGAGGGGGGCCGCAGGTGGATGGCTTGGACGGATCCTCGCCTTGGCGCGCCACTTCGCACCCCCTGGTCCACACAGAAATGACCAGGATTTTTACCGCCAAATCAATGGAGGGCGTGGCAGTGATCCCATTTGTGCCACGAACATAGTTACGGCCAATGGAAGTTAAGCGGACTATTCATTAGTCCAGCGGAGGGTAAGGGTATGGTTTACGCCCGGGGTCACTTATTCGGGAAGCAACTGTGCTTAAAGTAAATGACTGGCGATATTTATAAGGGCCAGAGAAAGGAATTAAAACACCTCTCGGTGGCTGCTGTATTAGGTTGGTCAAGAAGCTTTGAGATATTCATCGGAGTAAAAACACGACAATGCAATACCTTGCTGACAACGCCTCCAAATGGGCACCAAATGTATTTATTATTATCATTAAATGGTAAAAATAATGTCCTCTTTTGATTGGTGACAGTATGGAGGATCAGAATTTGTGATACCACAAAATTTTTGTATGTTCAGCTCTTTTCCTCAGCACATTTGCTCCCCGGAGTAAGTGACCCCCGGCGTAAACCATACCCTTGCAAGCAGAAAAAACCGCAGTCAATAGATCAGTTATTGTGAAATGGGAGGGCCAAGTATCAGGCTCTTTCTTAACGGAATTGTCATCCCTCCCCAGTTTTTCGAATTTAATCTCCAAAAGCATGCTTATACGCTGATGCGGCAAACAACGCTCCTAGGTTTTCCTCTGTTTCATGCCATCTATGAGCCCCATCGCTCAAGCTCCAGCACTGACTGCACAACTTTTTGCCACGCAAACGACGGCGACAGCCAGTCAAAATGAAGTGGAATATCTGGTCACAATCAGAAGTCATGGGATGCCGACAAACAGGAAATCCGCTATGATACCAGGGTCGGAAGTGGTTATGTAGGTCCACCTGAATTAAACAAACCCCAGCCACCTGTAATACGAGGCCGGTGGTAATAGGCGTTCTTACAGGTGGGGCCGGGGAACGCACAGGCGACGAGGTCAAGTAGTTGTATGCGAAAGAAAATCTATTGGAAATGCGTGGTTGTTCTCCGAGTGACTGAGAAATAGTTGCCTTAACCCTTAGCCTAATTCTCAAGTCTAACCCCAACATAACCACATCTTTCCAAAAATTGTAACAAATAACCCAGAGGCATCAGTGAATCAGGAATTAAATGGGGACAACAGGTTTAAGTAGGGCTAGTGACTGACTAGAATGTCCAAAAGTGTGCCTCCCAAGTCTAACCCCAACCCCAACAGAATTTTGTCCATCAGGTGGGGCTACCAAACCACATCTTACCGATACCAGCAATAACTTTTATTTCCACACCGACTGATATGCTTTGTCAAGAGAGAGTTGGTGTGCCGGGAGCTCGGAATCGAATACCCTGGTGAGCAGGACACCGCTCTATCGACTACCACGAAATATGAACAGGCTGGGAGAGTTGTATTCCGAAAACCGTGTGGCAAAGGGACTCGGACGATCCTGTCAGCGCGAACCTGTATAGTTGATAAGCTGAATGTCTAGACTCAAATACAACGGTTGGAAAATGTCTAAACCAGCTTTATTTTCTGATCTTTGCGTGCCTGAGATCGGCTAAACCGTTCCGCCGCACACGCAGGATTATGAACACCACGTGCTGCCCGGGTGTAGGAGCGAGATGATGAGGTTACCCCGCCGAACGTGGAGATCTGATTCACAAGCACAGCATGGAGTAATTGAAAGTTGCCTAATGGAGTGAAGTTCGGGAGGCATGCTTTAAGTAGTGAGAATATTTCAGGCAGTGGTCGACAGAGGAGGGGTAGATTCTGTTGGGATAAAAAGCATCTATCAGTGTGGTCGCTGACCTCTACAACGGGCAGAATGTCGATATCGCCTTGCGGGTAAACCGACCGACACTTGCATCACGATAGCGGCACTGACTTCTCACAGAAAAGGGCCAACTGAAAGTACTCTCAATTTGTTTTCCTCCGCTGTGGTCCGATGCGAGGGTACTAGACAGCTCCCCGAACATCAGGCAGCGGGAGCCTGACAGTGTGGTGACCGTGGGGTTTGCGAGTAGAACCGAGACATAAGTTCTCTCTACAACGCCCTACTTTCGAAATGGAGGCAGTCTCCTATACTTCCGAGGCAGACCTCAAGTTGATAACCATATCGTGTTGGAATCGGAGACCGAAGTAAGAGCACAGGATCTCCTAGTATTGGGCACTTAAGTTAAACTCAGAAAGAAATCATCCATGTTCAGCAGTCGCAAGATGGGCGGGTAAACAGTACTTCCTCGTGACACAACTGCTGTGCTGCTTCCTTTGACAAGAAAGTGCTCAGTTAGGTAGGTGTGAAGTCAGAGTGAAGGCGCCACATTAGAAGACACCAGATGGTAGTTTGACAGTCGCGAACGATGACGATGTCCATCGTCTGCCCATGGACTGCGCACAACTCAAGTGACTTTAACGTAGAATAGAATAGTTCATAGCGAGATAGACTTGAGCAGCATCTACCGAACCCTCTTCCCCCGGCCACTTTCCTTCGATAGCAAATGTCAAGGCGGCTGACATTGAGCCTGAGTGGAATGCCTGCCAAAGCTAAGCGGCCCATCTAGGCTTGCTACACACGGCCTGGTCCCTCAGACCTCTGTTAGGTCTTCCGCAGAACAAGTGAGACGGCCCAGACCGCATCTAGGCGGGAATATCACAGGCCACACTCGGAAGGAGCCATTGAGCCTGACTTCCCATCCTGAGAGAGGGGAGAGTTATCCCATCAGTTGGCAAGCTTCCAATCGACGACTTTGGCGCGTAGTGACACGGTAGAGGCGCATCAGGTCTGTCATAGTGATGAATGAACCGAAAATAAATTCCGCAGAGCCGACCTCCCTCTCGCACGCCCCAGTCCACTGTCCGAACCGGTCATTCATTTTATGCTGGGATTGTGCGCCAGTAAAACCTGCGGTATGCCAGCACGCCCGGCTGCGCGACATTTATTATCGGATGCGTGGGTCACGCCCGGCCCGGGTAACGCACGCCGTCCCCGCTGTGGCACGTCGTGAGGGCACTAAGCACCTACTTGAACACGATGCAGCGGGGGCTTGACGGTGTTGTAACTGCAGTAGAAATGGACAACCGATATTTAAGTCTCCTCTACAGCATCCTGCATTCGAAATGGAGACTGCCCCCTATACCGTCTAGGCAAACCTCAAGTTGGCAGAGTTACACACTAATGTCCGCGTAGCGGTTAGGCTGCCAGCACAAAATGTTGCGATCCCAAGTCGCGCTCCACGTCGTGGTGACCACTGATTCAAAGTATTGCCGGCACAAACCTGCCTCCAATAACCCAAAATTCCCAAAGACTGCTAAGTTAAGACTTGCTGCATATCATAAACTTTGTCTGGCAGGCTCTGTCAATCGAGGTGACAGGTGGCATCTTCCCAGTCACATCTCAGCAGCATACCCCGTCCAGCATTAACTGATTACTCGACTTCCCTTTTCATCCGTGTCGGTTTCGACAAACGAAATCCGAGCCGCGCGCACAACTGCCGGTTGAAAATTTTCCGAAGAACTTTCACGTCCCAGATTGACTCCTCTAAGTTGCTGAATCGCTGGTGAGCAAAAATGACTGATTTTGGTATGCTGAATGGTCGCGACGCTTGTAGCGTTCCGACAATCATGAGATAATTTATTTTGACCAATCTGTGAAAAAATCGGGGATCCCGGTGGGATTCGAAGCCACGACAGAAGGGGGAAGGCTTGAGTGCAGCCAACACTCTCGCCAACTGAGTTACGATACCCCACATGAGATAGGTTTGAGGCTCTTCTGCCAGACCGCCTTCCCGGCAAAGCATCGGGAACAGACCGACGACTAGCCAGCATAGTCAGCTTACTAACAAGTTCATCCATTATGCAGTGCAATAGGCCTCCTACCCACGAACCCGGTGCGAAAAATAAGTTGTTGTGTAGAAAAAATCGCATTTCATTTTGCCAAGAAAGGAAATATTTTCGTTAGACACAAGTCACACTGCGAGGGCTAAAGGGCATAAATAGATGGACATGAGAAACCGGGGTCGGAAGGAGTGGACTGGAGCAGAGAGACAGAGCTGGGCCAATGTGTCACTGACAGGCAGCACTGTGGGTACTTTAGGCCTCACAACTAACGCAGAAAACTGGTAGGGGGGCATGAGTATTTTCACCAGATAAGAATCTGAGGGCTGTTGGATTGACGTGGTGCCCAAGTTGGCGGAGGAGTAGGAGGGATAGAGGGAGAATTTGGGCGGATTTGAAGGCACGGCAGCGAAGGCGACGAGCGCAGGCAGCTAGTGGCCGCCAGACGGCTTCGTCTCGCGCCCGGATGAGGCGAGAGACAGGGGTGCAACCGGTGGATCACAAAAGTACCGATCACCCAGGAGACGGTACTTGCACATGGTGAGACGGTAACCCTCCGAGCGCAGGGTGATTGTGGTTCCACTGGGCAGAGCGCCACCGTCGCGACAAAACTGCAAGGCCACCGGCTGAGGCTTACCGGGGCCCGCGGAGAGAGTAAACTTGGCACGTATCAGGCCAGAGTTGAGGACAGCGCGGGGAGACACGGGGGAGGTAGCTGTTGGTGTTGCTGGCGCGGCGGTACCATCAATGGGAACATTCCAGCTGGCACGACACTTTTCCCGATCTAGGTTGCCTGCTGGGTGACTTTCCATATGCGTGACACCACCATCGACAAGCAGGGTGACCCGGAGGTCTTGGCAGCTGATCGGAAAAATGTTAATGAATCAGCCTTTTAATCTGGAGCTTGAGGAAAAGTGAGAAGTATGGGATGAATATGTGATCATCCTTAGGCAAGGTAATTTAGGGTTTTGGACATTTGGGTCTTTTCACGGGTCTATCGTTATGGGTGGGAGGATAAACTTGAGGAAGCGTCTCAGAGACTAACAAATGGACTTTTTTACGACCTCAACACTGCGTCTCCGTTAAGACCCAATGAGGGTTCTAAATGTGAATGTCTTTATTTGTTTGCAGGAACCCTGTAACGCAATTTGCAGTGGCTGTAGGAAGATAGATGGAGTTAGATAGATGGAGTAGGATTTAATATCACACGTATGCGGGCAGTACCCGAGGTAACCAAGCAAAGTAAATGCGCTTCAGCTTTTAATGGGTACATCGGCCTCTCATCCGCTTAGCAGGCGCTGTGCAAACGAATCGATGGGGTGGCTGAAGGTCAGTCTTAGTATTGTCTTGGACAGGACGACATACGTGACGAAGTCTCGGGGGCTTCTAGGCGATTTCATACCAAATCGGCCATTCGGGTTCCATGAAAATTATACTGGACAACACAAACACAAGCCTGACTTTGGCAATGCGCCAAAACGAAATACCTGAGGGCGATGGAGAACAAGCAACCTTATGGAGTCATTGGACTACTGCTTGAATACATCACGTTAAGTGATGCAGTCTGCGACCAAATCCAGGCAACCCATCTCTCGTTACAGAGCAGAAGCTGGGAACCGGTTTTTCCGCGAACTGCCGATCAAACCTTTGAATACGCAATGTAGATGGCCAGTTTCTCCTTAAATGTCGAGGTGTAAGGCAAAGCTTTAAGCGCGGACAAGACTCAATCGGCCCAAAAATCCAGGCTAAAACATAGAAGAAGTCTAGAGGCAGGGGCGCTCCCTTCCTTGACCCGCCGGTTTCAGGGCAAGAAAATGGAACTGTGTGTTTCCTGGAAAGCAACCGATACTGCTGTTGTGTTTCCCCGGCAGAAGGCACACTCACACGTTACTCTGCCCACACTCAAGAAAGCCTACCAATTTGACCTCAACAGCGTACAGGTAATTGAGCGGGCCGAAAAAAAACAGGCAAACAAACAATTGCAGTCGAAGGGTTCAACCCCTACAAGCCGACAAAGACGTGTACCATGAAGGAAAGGTCAGTGAG